TTGTGAGAGCATCTGTGTCCCCTTAGCATCACTCAGTGTATTTATTTTAGGTATTTAAAAGTGCCTGACCTGGCAAGCAAAACCTAAGCCAGTAAGTTAAATTATTTAATATTCATAATGAGTCTCAAGGTCTCTTAATTCCAAAACCATCAAATTATTTTACACCTTCCAACTGAAACCACAAGTCTAAAACTCAAGTGCTTGATTTTAGATTTTATCTTGATATCACAAGGCTCACTTCAAGTTCTTTAGTATACCAAATTTCCTTATACATTCTAATACCGAATGCAGATTGCTCTCACATTTAACATTAATACCATGTGTTTGGTTTACTCTGTCATTTACACATTTAGCTTCAAACCTTCCTGGGTTTCGAATATATTTCCCTGGAGGAAAAGCTTTACCCATGCTTTGTCACCCGGGGTTGGCTTCTTACTGGTCTGAGCTCTGAGACTGGGATAAGGGACCAGGAGCCACAGTGAGAAGTCCTGAGCCCTTGTTCTAGTTGCTAAAGATGGGATTAAAGTCACAGCTCCCATTTCCTGGATTTCATGTAATCCATCCCACATTTTATTTGGTCGGATTTGAATAGATGGAATTATACACAACTGCTAGGGTTGAGAAGACCTTCCTTCACAGACTGCTGGGGCCAAGACAAGAGTCCTTTACCATTCCTTCTGCCTGGGCAGGATCCAGCCCTACCAGGCACCTGCTCAGTGCTTGACGGACTCGGCCACCACTGACCCCATGTTCCTCAGGACAACTTGCATTTTCAAGGACAGACCCTTGTATTTCACTAGTTTGTGTTATGAGAAGAAAAGCCAACCCGTAGGCAGAGAGAAAGAGTTGCATAAGATTTTATTCGAGAATTGGGGCGCCTGGGTGGCTCAGTTGGTTAAGCGACTGCCTTCGGCTCAGGTCATGATCCTGGAGTCCCGGGATCGAGTCCCGCGTTGGGCTCCCTGCTCGGCAGGGAGTCTGCTTCTCCCTCTGACCCTACCCCCTCTCATGCTCTCTGTCTCTCATTCTCTCTCTCTCAAATAAATAAATAAAATCTTAAAAAAAAAAAGATTTTATTCGAGAATAATGAAAAAGGCTCCTATGGAGATGTTCTGCATGTCTTGTTTTTGGATTCTTCGCTCGCTTTCTATGGCATTTCCTAACACGGTAGCGGTAGGAGATAAATGTTCTGACACAGACAGGTCTGGAAGTGGTTTATTCCACTCTCTTACGCCGATGATCATTTGACTCTACCGTTCTTGGATGAAGGAAATTTCCCCTGGAAGATGGAGCGTGTGCATCACCCTGGCGTCCCCCCAGTGTTGAATGTAACAGCTGATGAGTGGGATCCATGCTCATTCTTGTTTCTTTGTAGGTGATTTTTCTCCCTCTCTAGTAGCTTCCAGAACCTTCTCTCCATCCCTGGTATTCTGAAATTTCATGATGGTGCGTGCTGGGTCATTCTTCAGAGGAAAGCTGAGCAATTCGTAGGTCATCTGAATTTGGAGGCTCAACGTTTTAATTCTAACAAACTTTCTTGAATTATTTCTTCAACAACTTTCTCACTTTGACTTCCTGCTTTTCCTACTAGAACTCCTACGAGGGGGATGTTGGTTCTCCACGTTGATCTTTTATGTTACCTGTGGAGGTTCTACGGGGCTAATAAAAGAAGAGCCTGTTCTCCTCTGAAGTTTGAAACCAGTTGAGAACGAGGACGCAGTAGACAGACACGTGAATATGGAGATGTTAGCTTTATTGCTGATAGGCGGTGAAAAGTGGATTTGGCTGAAAACCTTAAATCAAAACCAACAAAACAACAAAACAAAATAAACCTTAAATCAGAAGGACTTGTTAAGATTTCATCCAAGAATTAGGCAGAACTATCCGCCCCGTGGCAGGCAGGGCTGGCCAGGCGGCCTTCCCCGCAGAGAGCAGATTATAAGTTGGGCGGAAGGCAGCCCGGCAAGGCAGGCTTTCTCCCCTGGGCAGGAGTGAGGGGCTGGGGGGCTGGGGGGTTGGGGGGGAGGCCCAGAGACTTTCCCTGATGAGAAATATATGCGGAGGGCGCCTGGGTGGCTCAGTCGTTAAGCGTCTGCCTTCGGCTCAGGTCATGATCCCAGCGTCCTGGGATCGAGCCCCGCATCGGGCTCCCTGCTCGGCGGGGAGCCTGCCTCTCCCTCTCCCACTCCCCCTGCTTGTGTTCCTGCTCTCGCTAATGTCTCTCTCTGTCAAATAAATAAATAAAATCTTTAAAAAAAAAAAAAAGAAAGAAAGAAATATATGCGGAAACATGAGGCCAGGGGAGAAAGTCCCCCAATTTAGCTGATTTCTCATTAACATAATTTTTCTTTTTATCTCTTTGTTCTTTTGGTTATTCTCTCTCTCCCTCTCTCTCTTCCCTGGAATTTATCTTCCAAAGCTCCTACTAATTTTTTGACGTCAGCAATATTATTATCATTTTTTTTATTTTCAAAAGATCTTTCTTGCTTTCTGAACAAGTATCTAGGACAGAATATACTGGAAATTCTGGTTAATCCACAACATGAATTCAGGAAACCCAAGAGGAAGATAGATGACTGATATGAGAAAGCAACTCACACAAGGGGAAACCCAAATGATTCACACATAGATGAGGAAGTGTCCAAGCCCACTCTTAACTAGAAATGTGGAATGAGAGAGTAGGAAGATGGCAGCAGATTGGCAGCAGTTGGGAAGTTGAATAATATCGAGTTGGGAAGGGTGGACCAGAAGGGAGGGGACCCTCATGGGCTGGTGGTGGGGAGTCACCCAGCACAGCCATTCTGGAAAATGGGCGCCCTGACAAGACGCGGTGAAATCGAGCACCAGAATGCTTTGTTGATTTCATAATTTGACCCTGGGTGTCCTTTGCAGGGAAGGTCTCCTCTAGATCCACCCAGGAACATGACAAACCCTTAATAGCCAAGAGAAGACAGAAAGATAATTTCTGGGTTATTAATATTCTCATAGAAGGAGCAGGGATGGAAGATGTTGTGAGGGGGTGTGAAAGGGAGGCAGTGGACCAGCTAAGCAAAGAAATAAAGGGAGCAAAGACTACTAAAAAAAAAAATCTTGTGGATATGATCTCATCAGTGCAAGAATGTGCGTATGCTTGGAATGAAGTGTGAGAAGTTTCTGTGACCCAGCGATTTCATTCTTGGATGTGGTTCCCGGAGAACTTCTCGCGTAGGTCCTCATGGGAACATGATGAGAACACTGACCGCGGTGTTAATCGTGGTAGCTGGGGATTGGCGACATCTTAGGGTTCATGACTGGAGGACTGGGTAAATAAACCATGATTGATCCACACCAGTGAATACCACACACAGGCTCATAGCAACAAGCCAGATGTACAAATAGCAACATGGACAGATCTTAAACATTTGTTGTTGGGTGAAGAAGGTCAGGAACAAAAGACTTATGAAAATTCCATTTCGGTATATAACAGAGAGGGCACACAAAACCCACCGCGTATTTTATAAAGATTCCTGTTGAGGCGTAGATACTCTTTGCATTACCTATGGATACATAACATACCAACCCCAAATTCAGTGGCTTAAAACAGAGGACTACTCATTCTTTTTCTTTTTTTTTTTTATTTATTCATTTGAGACACAGAGATACAGAGAGAGAGAGAGAGCATGAGCAGGGAGAGAGGCAGAGGGAGAGGGAGAAGCAGGCTCCCTGCTGAGCAGGGAGCCCGATGCGGGGCTCGATCCCAGGACGCTGGAATCATGACCTGAGCCGAAGGCAGACGCTTAACCATCTGAGCCACCCAGGCGCCCCTCTTTTTTTTTTTTTTTAAAGATTTTATTTTTATTTATTTGCGAGAGAGAGAATGAGAGACCGAGAGCATGAGAGGGAGGAGGGTCAGAGGGAGAAGCAGACTCCCTGCTGAGCAGGGAGTCCGATGCGGGACTCGATCCAGGGACTCCAGGATCATGACCTGAGCCGAAGGCAGTCGCTTAACCGACTGAGCCACACAGGCGCCCTCTACTCATTATTTCTTAATATTCTCTAGGGCCAGAAATTTGGGCAGGGAGAGGCCCGGAGGCTTTGTTCACGCATCCTCGGGCCTCAGCACTCCTCTGTGTGGCCTCTCTCTGTCTCTCAATCTCCATATCGTGTCTTACTTCCCCACCCCCAGCCCAGGCCAGGCCTCTCTCTCTCTAGCAGGATAGCTGGACTTCCTTAAAGCGTGGTGGTTTGTGTCCAACCCTGAAAACTGAACCTTCCAGGTCTCTGAAGGCTGAGCCCAGAACTGGCAGAATGTCCCTTCTAGCACTTTCTACTGGCCATGGCAAGTTGCGAAGTTCGCTCAGATTCAAGGGGAGGGAAACAGACTCTAGCTCTGGGTGGGTGGTGTGACTTGCATGTACAGTGAGGGAAGAAGCTGATGGCCACCATCTTCGGAGACCGTCACATACAGCAAGCACGCCATTTTGGCTGCCTGTGGAGCGTAGAATTGGTTTGGGGGAACCGGATGGAGGAGGGAAAGTAGGAGGGGAGATTGGGGAAGATGGCGTATCATGAACTCAGGACTACAACTAACCTAATTTTCTGTGCTTGGGGTACAAAAAAATAAAATAAAAATAAAAATCCCAAACCAAAATCAATCAAATAAAACAGGATTCCATAACCCAAATCAGAAAAACCCAACAAAAAAGTGACAAGACCGTATGAAACCTTCAGAAAGTGTACGTCAACTTTTGGTAAATTAAGATGCTGACTTTCGGGGCGCCTGGCTGGCTCAGATGGTTAAGCGTCTGCCTTCGGCTCAGGTCATGATCCCAGAGTCTTGGGATCGAGCCCCACATCGGGCTCCTGGCTCAGCAAGGAGCCTGCTTCTCCCTCTCCCTCTGCCTCTCTCCCTGCTCATGCTTTCTCTCTCTCTCTCTGTATCTCTGTGTCTCAAATGAATAAATAAAATCTTAAAAAAAAAAAAAAAAAGAAAGATGCTGACTTTCAAACAGGGAGAAAGAGAAGGAGGCAGAGCATGTCTCTCGTGTTCCCTGCACTCTCTCCCCAGGAGGGGGTATGGGGGTTGAGCCCCAAAACTTGGAATCAGTTCCGTTGAGGTGCGTGGCCAGCAAGAACCCCTCCCCACCGCCCGGCCCCATCCCCAGATGGCAGTCAGTCAACCTTGGCCTGCAGTAGGTAATCCGCTTGGTAAGCTCTTACCCAAATCTTAGAACTAAAACCACATCCCCACCAAGACTCGCGCCTCCCAGCGGTGTTTTCCAGACTTTGATTAGCGGCCCACTAGTGGTTTGGGAAACTCACCTCAGTTGGTCACGAACTAGGACGCAAGGAGCAAGGTTTACATTGTTCAACGAGACTTTCATGTCAATAATGCGAGAATCCATTCCTTCACTTATTCAGTAAGTACTAGTTGAACACCTACTATGTGCCGGGTGCCAGGAATTCAGAAGAAAGTAAAACACACAAATGTGTGCGTGTGTGTGTCCCTCACAGAGGGATACTGTGTGTGTCAGAAAGTTGCCGCCCGAACACTCAGGCCTCTCCTTCCCTTTTCAGCACGAAGGCTTAGTGGAAGAAGAGAAACTCTGCCCTTGGCCGGCGGCCCGTTTGGCGGGGGTCAGAAGGTTCATGTTGCCCGGGCCACGCAAGGGGCTTGGTGAGGTCGGATCCCTCTGCCCAGGGAGGGCTGCCTCCTGCCTCCGCCCCCCTGTGCCCCTGGTCCTGGAGGGGCCTTATTCCCTGGACAGCGATGCCCCCCAGCCCCGAGCCGGGGAGCCTGGCTGCTGAGCCTGCGCACGTTGGGCAAGAGCAGAGAACCGGCCCCTCTGATCCCTGCCAGGGATATTTGGAGACACCAGCAATTCTGGGAAATCCGGGGGCAGGGAGGGAAAGGGGGGAGGGGCAGATGGGACCCTGTGAACTGCCCCCCAGCCCCTCCTGGCCTGGACCCCTCCGAACTGTGCGGTGAGGAGCGAGGTGGCCGGCGTGTGGGGGTGAAGGGGGGAGAGGCCAGGAGACCCCTTTCTCTGGGAAGAACGGAGACAGTCGTGTCCCCACGCCCCCGCCACGCTTTGCCTGAGTTCCAACCCCGTTTCCGCTTCTATTTACTGTCCAAAGTCCCGGGGGCAGGAGATGCCAGGTTAGAACCACGTGGACCCTGGGACACAGGGACTCAGGGGCCTCGCCTGGACCAGCCCCTCCTGGTTCCACCTGCTCCACTTCTCGCTGTAGCCCCTCCTTGCCCTGGGGCCTGGGCCACCCGAGCCACCGGGGAGTCAGCCCTCCATACCTTTCACAGGTAACCGAGCTGGGGGAGGCAGGTGGGACTGGGGGATATTCGGTATTGAGGAGACCCTTGTTCAGGGACAGCGGGGGCCAGATGGATGGGGGGTGGTTTGGTCCATGAGTGTGGAAGGAGGGCTCCTGGCCACGTCAAGGCCCGAGCAGTCTCCTGAGAAGGGACAGGACCCAGCTGTATTTCTGCCCCACACTCACCTCCAACCTTAGACCCAACCCAACGTGCTCCCACCCTACATCCAACCCCATCATCAGCCTCTGCCCAAAGTAGCATCTTAGCACAAGCCTTAGCCCCGAGCTCAGCCCCAGCCTTAAGGGGAACCTCAGCCCAACCCAGCTCCAGCCCTGGACCTGGCATGGCCAAGGACTTTCAAGACATCCAGCAGCTGGACTCCGAGGACAATGACCACCCACTGGGTGGAGGTGAGGGCCCGGGCCCTCGTGGGCACAACCCCAGGAGAGGAGACAGGTTCTGCGTAGGTGAGTGTCCGGTTTCTGGGGCTTCACTCCCCCTCCATCTAGCTGCTGGTGGCTCTCTGTCTCGCTGAGGTCACATTCACCTGAGACCAGGGACAGGGCTTCTCTGGGTGTAGGACGCCCGTCTCCTCTGCTTGCCCCCGACCTCACCTTGCTCACTACCCGCCCCTCCCCCCGGGGCCCCTGAGGGCAAGGGAATAACTCAAAGCTGGAGATGACTTTGTCCCCCTTCCTCCCAACCTGAGCAGGGTGCGCGTGCGCGTGTGCACATGTGTGTGTGTGTGTGTGTGTGTGCAAGGAAAGCACATGCAGCAGGAGGGTGTGTATGTGGGAGGGTTGGGGGATGGGGGATGGGCACAGAGAGATCCCGGGAGACCCCCACTCCCCTAAGCGCCCTGCCTAGATCTTTCTCTAGCAACTCCTGAAGGAAGACTCAAGTGTCTGGGAACTGTTTTCAGGTGAGAGAGATCTGAGCTGAAGGGCAGGAGCCAGGAGCCGGGGAGGGGGTCTCGTGATGGAGCGAGGCTCCATGGAGACAGGAGCTCAGGGAGGGGGTTGGTTAGCCTGGGCTGGGAGGGGGGCCCTCATTCCCGAGGCTGGCAGACAGCGGGAGGGTGGGAGCTGATCAGGGCAAAGGCAGCAGGAGGGACAGGCGTCCCCACCCACGGCTTCTCCCTTCCCGGGTGGTGAGCGGGGGGTGGTCAGGGGCGACATGAATCACACCCTGTGCGTCCTCAGTGCCCATGTGATGCCTGGTATGTAGTGAACACTTGGGATGATTTTGGATATTGTCGGATCCTCTGAGGGTGAGAGGATTCAGTTTAAGCAGGAGGCTTGGACAGAGTTGAGAGGTTTTGGATTTCACAGAGGAGGGAGCTCACCCCAAAAGACCTGATGGACAGCACCTGCTTTTCCAGGACAGGCTTCTGCCTTTCCCAGCGCTCTAGAAGCCTGCAGTTTTCCGCCAGCTTGGCAATGTTTCAACCACTGTTTCCTCAAAACCCCTTTTCCTGCCCCCCTCCCTGCTCCTTTCTCCTTCAAGGACTGTAATTATGCATGTATTCATGGCCCCACAGCTCACGGATGCTCTCCCTGTTGTTGTTGTTTTTTAATTCTTTTCTCTTTCAGTGTTTCTTTTTATATAGTTCTTATTGCTGTGTCTCCAAGTTCACTAATCTTTATTGAAGTCTCATCTTCCACTAATTCTACCCAGTGGATTTTCCATTTCAGGCATTGTAGTTTCATGCCTAGGAGTTCAACCCGGGACTTTTTTTTTTTTAATATTTTATTTATTTATTTATTTGAGAGAGAGAAACTGAGAGAGAGAGCACATGAGAGGGGGGAGGGTCAGAGGGAGAAGCAGACTCCCTGCCGAGCAGGGAGCCCGATGCGGGACTCGATCCCGGGACTCCAGGATCATGACCGGAGCCGAAGGCAGTCGCTTAACCGACTGAGCCACCCAGGCGCCCCATGATTTTATTTATTTATTTGAGAGAGAGAGAATGAGAGAGAGCACATGAGAGGGGGGAGGGTCAGAGGGAGAAGCAGACTCCCTGCCGAGCAGGGAGCCTGATGTGGGACTCGATCCCAGGACTCCAGGATCATGACCTGAGCCGAAGGCAGTCGCTTAACCGACTGAGCCACCCAGGTGCCCCATGATTTTATTTATTTATTTGAGAGAGAGAGAATGAGAGACAGAGAGCATGAGAGGGAGGAGGGTCAGAGGGAGAAGCAGACTCCCTGCCAAGCAGGGAGCCCGATGCGGGACTCGATCCCGGGACTCCAGGATCATGACCTGAGCCGAAGGCAGTCGCTTAACCAACTGAGCCACCCAGGCGCCCCCTTACCCCCATTTTTAAAAGTTGTGATAAGAATACTCAATATGAGTTCTGCACCATAGCACACATCAGTGCAGGTGTAAGGATATACCACAGATGTCTGGAACTTACTCGTCTTGCATAACCAAAACTTTACACCCATTGAACAGCAACTCCCGTTTCCCCAGACCCTGGCAACCACCCTTCTACTCTTGATGTCTGTGAGTCTGGCTATTTTAGATACTAGAAGTGGACATGAGAAAATTTGAGGCACCAAGCGGTCGAGTGACTTGCGCGTGATCTCAGAGCTAGCTGGGGGCACAGCTGGACTCAGCCACAGGCGGTCCGACTTCAGAGTGGAGGTGCGGGCATAGATCGCCGAGCTAGCCCAGAACTGGGGTTTCTGGATCATGGGTCAGGTTGGGAAGCAGGACAAGGGCAGTGGACAGGGTTTGAGAGAACAGTCAGACTCAGCCACGGGGTCCTGGCTGGGTGGGGAAGACCGTGCTCAGGGAGGCCTTCTGGATGGAGAGATGCCCAGAGGATGGGGAGGGTGGGAGGGGAAGGGTGTGCGGAGGGGAGGCTGTGCTCAGAGAGGGGGAGCGGGCAGTGGAGGTCAGAGACATGGCCTCTCTGAGTCAACATGGGGTCCTGAGTGTGTCTGAAGGTGGGGGGAAGGTGACAGTCATTGGTGTGAGGATTTCAAGAGTTCTGGGTGGTCACTCACAGGGAGTGACCACGCAGAGGTGCCTGGTGTCATGGCAGCGAGCAGACAGGAAGGTGGGGTCTGAGCCGAAGAGGAAGCATCTTGTTTGCAGGGGGACGGTGCAAAAGCGGGGGGTGTGTTTGTGAGTGTGTGAGATCGTGTGTGTCTGTGTGTATACGTGTGAGGAGACATGTGAACGTGTGCCTCAGTGAGCACGTGCACAGCTCTGAGCGGGACAGTGAAATGAGAGGAGGGTGCACGCGTGGGGGGGTTGGGGTTCAGTCTGGCCAAGGGCAGGGAGAGGTTTCTGTGAGGTTCTGCTGAAGCTAGAGGGGAGAGTTGGTGGTGGAGCGAGGGGTTCTGGGGGCCCCAGGGCAGAGGGAAATGCCAGAGGAGAAGGACGGGGGCTGGGAGGGCAGACCCCAGGGAGCCGTCTGCGGTGGAATGACCCGCAGTAAGGAATGAGGGGTCTGTCCTTGCGGTTTGGGACTTGTCTGAGCGGCCCAGGCATGGACTGTGAGAAGGACACAGGGCCTGGACCCCGGTACCCCAGGTCCGGGAGCGGGGCTTTGCGCACAGATGATGTGAACTATCGTGGGCCCTGTGCTTTGTGTTGCACTTACCTGTGTTGGTGTGTGTGCGTGTCTGCCTGTGTTCATGGGGCGGCGAGTGTGCAAATGCGCGCGTGTGCAATGCCTGGCCCCTGGGGTCAAAGCCCAGTGACTCCCTGCACAACCAGCCCCCACCTACTTCCCTCCCACCCACCCGGGGAATGTGCCTCCTCAGACTTCCGTTCCCCCGGGGTCTCCCATACGTCCACTCTCTGGGTTCCCCCTCCCCAGGCCCCTCCTTCTGACGCCCCTTCTTCTCCGGCAGGGACCCCCACGCAGCCGCCCCTTCTGCTGCGGCGCTTCTGCTCCACCTTGCGCCTCAGTCTGCTCGTCCTGGGCTTCAACGTCCTGCTGCTGGCGGCCATCTGCGTGATTGGGTCCCAAAGTGAGGGTCGCCGGGGCCGGCCGGGAGGGGGGCGCCGAGCCGGGGGCCACGAGATCGGGGAGCGCAGCGAGAGGGCAGCAAGGAGCAGCGCTGGGACAGCTGTGGGGCGGTGATGGGGCCGGGAGGGGGCGGGGACGCGGACAGGGGGGGCTGTGAGGCCGGACGCAGCCCTCCCCACTTTGTCCTGTTCCCTCTGTCCCCTGGCCAGGAGCACAGCTGCAAGAGGAGCTGCGCATCCTAAAGGAAAACTTCAGCCACTTCTCCCACGGCGTCCTGTCGGAGATCGGCACTCTCTTCTCCCATGGTGCGTGGAGGCTCCGGTGAGGCAGGGGCTGCGGCTTATCCGCGCGCTGGGTTGGCTGCGCTCGGTGCCGGACGCCCGGTGCCCCGTCTGCAGGAGGGGCGTGTTTGGGGTGCTGGGGGCACGACACCCAGCCCGAGAAGCTGGGCAGGGCGTCCAGGGACGCTGATCCCTGGGCCGAGGGAGCCTGAAGGATGAACAGGCAGGTGAAGACGATGGGGGTTCGTGCCAGGTAGCGGGAACAGAATCTGCAAAGCCAGGAGGTGAGGAAGACTACCGTCCATTCCCATGTGACCCTTTGCAGTGTGGCAGGGGCGAAGTGGCGAGGGCTGGGCAGAGAGGCGGTTAGGGGCCGGTCCCGCAGGCAGGGACCTCGTGCTAATGAAGAGAGGCCCTGTTCTGAGAACATGGGGACCTGCGGAGGGGGTTGAAGCAGGAGAGCGGCCGGCGCAGGTGTGTGCCTTGGCAAGCCACTGTGGGGACGGGGTGGAGTCAGGGAGGCTCGGGTGGGCGCGGATGGAGGGCCGTTAAGGAGGCAGAAGGGAGGGAGATGGGCGAGCCTTCCTCTTTCTCAGGGCGCAGTGCCAGTCACCAGCTGATCTCTCTGGAAGCCAAGCTGGAGAAACAGCAGAGGGATCTGAAAGCAGGTCAGAGACCCCCCGACCTTGAGTGTGTGCATGTTGCGTGTTGCGTGTCCCCAGTCCCGAGGCTGGCGCGCCGTGGGGGGTCCCGGCAGGTGGGCACCCCCACCGCCCACATCCCGCCCCCCATGCCACGCCCTAGATCACGCCGCCTTGCTCCTGCACCTGAAGCACTTCCCCATGGACCTGCGCATCCTGACTTGTCAGATGGCCTTCTTCCAGAGCAATGGTAGGGACAGAGGGGGCCTCCCGCCCGGTGCGCCTGCACCCGCCGGCGGGCTCTCACCTCCCCGGGCCCCCGCCCCCGCAGGCACACAGTGCTGCCCCCCTAACTGGCTGGAGTACGGGGGCAGCTGCTACTGGTTCTCGGGCTCCGGGAAGACCTGGGAGGACGCCGACAGGTACTGCCAGCTGGAGAGCGCGCACCTGGTGGTCATCAACTCCAGAGAGGAGCAGGTGAGACTGCACCTTCCCGGGGTGCAGCTGGGAGGCTGGGTCAGGCTGCTTTCTTCTCAGTTTTTAACCAGAGGAAGAGTCCAGAGGCGGAGGTCTGGGAGAGCCCTGGGAAGTTCATGGCGAAGCAGCCACTGATTTTAAGAGGTGGGACATTATTGGAGCCAGGAGCCAGGTGAGCAGGTGATGAGCGGCAGGTGGGGAGACAGAATTCCGGACGGAATGAGCTGAAGGGCCACGGGCTTGGGTGGAGAACACAGTGCCAGGGCTCAGCGCCTTCTTGCTGCATGTGGATGGGTGGTCACTGGGCGAAAGGGACAGAGCGGGTAGAATTCCCAGAGACACACCTGCCATGGGTTACTGGGTCCCCCCTCCAAAGAGTTCCTGGTCTCCCCTGCCTGCTGCCACCACCGGCCACAACCCCAACACCAGAGTTTGCAGGGGACAGCCAAGCCGTTAGGATAGGTGGAGACATTTTTTCAAAAAGGAGGATGTGACTGGCAAAAGTCTTCGCTCGGTGAGAAACACTTCCATATATTTACCTGTAATCCTCACGACCCCACGGGCAGGCACTCTTATCCCCTTCGAGGGAGGGAGAGATGAGGGGACTAAGGAAACAGTACATGTTGCCAGAATACATTTATCAAATATATATCCAATATATGTATTTGTATATATCAAATACTAAGTAAATATGTAAATATATAGATAAACATATACATTATAAATATATAAATATATAAAGGAATTTCTCCTACGGATTGTGAATACGTGTTGTTTCCAATTTTTAAAAACTGAGTAAGAGTCTTCTCTTTTAATAGATATGTATCTCATTTACATTTGTTTTTAACAGACATATTTAACCTCAAGCCTGTCTTTTTTTTTTTCTTTCTGTCGATATTCTTCTTTTGTTTTCTCACGTTTGCTGTGTGAGATGTATTCTTTTTGTTTTCTCCCCTACGGTATTTTGAACTACATGTAGCTTCTTTTTGGTTATACTAGTGATTACTTTGATCACTTTAAACGATGGGCCAAAATTTATCGACTTCAAAAAACGTCAAAGAGTTCATACAACTTTCCATATGAAAGATGAGGAAACCAGTCTACTTACATTCTTCACATGCCTCCTCTTTTTTTTCTTTTTAAAGATTTTATTTATTTATTTATTTGACACAGAGAGACACAGTGAGAGAGGGAACACAAGCAGGGGGAGTGGGAGAGGGAGAATCAGGCTTCCCACTGAGCAGGGAGCCCAATGTGGGGCTCGACCCCAGGACCCTGGGATCGTGACCTGAGCCGAAGGCAGACGCTTAACCGACTGAGCCACCCAGGCGCCCCAAGCCTCCTCTTTTTTGTTTGTTTGTAAGTAAGCTCCATGCCCAATATGGGGCTGGAACTCACAACCCCGAGATCAAGAGTTGCATGCTCTATCGACTGGCCAGCCAGGTGCCCCGCCTTGTTCTTTTTTTAAAAATTGAGATATAATTGGGGCGCCTGGGTGGCTCAGATGGTTAAGCGTCTGCCTTCGGCTCAGGTCATGATCCCAGGGTCCTGGGATCGAGTCCCGCATCGGGCTCCCTGCTCCTTGGGAGCCTGCTTCTTCCTCTGCCTCTCTCTCTCTCTCTCTGTCTCTCATGAATAAATAAATAAAATCTTTAAAAAAATTGAGATATAATTGACATATAATATGGTGTAAGTTTGAGGGGTACAATGTGTTGGTTTGATACATGTGCATGTTGCAATATAATTACTCCAGCAACATCAGCTAACACCCTTAGCCCTTCACAGATTTTCACTTTTTTGTGCGGAGAGCAATGAAGAGCTAGTCTCTTAGCAACTTTGAAGTTTATGATGCCTCCTTCTTTTCTCTCTGAGATTCCGTAAGCATTTTGCCTGAATAGTTGGAGTCTTTTCTGTCTTTGAATCTCATTAGCCTCGTCCAGATATATCTTGGTGTTGCTCCTTCTCTCTGTAATTTTCCTCCGGGGCCAGGAGCATCCTCTTAATTCGTAAATTTAGGTTTCCTAAATTCTTAAATATAATTTTAATTTGAACTTTTTTTTCTTGTGCGTTCTCTTTCTTTTTCTGGAACGGGTCATCCAGACGTCCCTCTGTTGTCTGCTGTCCACAGCCCCCACCCTATACTTCTGTCTTTCTCTTTCCCTCTGGGTGGCAGTCCTGTCCTCAAGCCCATCGTTCATGCCCCAGACTTGGCTTTCTGCTAAGTTCCTGGGCTTTTTTGCATGGCTCAAATCTTTCTCTTGGGTTTCTTCCCTTCACTTATCATTGTGTTCTCTTTCTTCTTGGATGTCTTCTTTGATATTTTATATCATTCGTCTCCTCTTTAATTTTGCATAAGTTCCATGATCACAGCCCCCCCCCCGCCATTTTTTTGAATGGGTGCAATTCTTTCTTGCCTGTTATATACCCAGGAATAGGGGAGATGAATTCACCTGGCACTATTGATTCCTCCCCTCAGTCTTCAACCCAGAGGGCTGGATATCGGCGATCTGTATTCCGTTCGGTCATTCAGCTTCCGGTGGCAGCGGGAAGAGGGGGTGGGGACAGCAGGTGGCAGCAAATAGAACATCTGGTCTCTAGCACTTTCCCTCCAGCTCTGTTGACGCCTCTGAATTTGTGGGGCAGGCCCCCCAGCCTCCTCATGCACAGAATGCTGTCCTGTTGGCAGGATTCTAGAATTAATTCAAGGGTGCTGTCATACCTGTGCTCAAGTGAGGTGGTCTGCAATCGTTATGGGGTCTCTAGGAAGCGAATGGAATTAGGAAATTTCCCTCCAAATGGGGTTGTAGACCCTCCACATGCTGTCAAAGGGAAGGGCTAGGCGTGTATGTTAATCAGGCCATCCCCCCGTCTCCTCTATATTCTCCCACTGCTACCCTTCCAAAACATGGGGCTAAAGTCTCTTCTGTAAGAGAAAGCCATGTGGGGGTCTGTTGTCCTCGGGGGTGTGCGTGAGTCCTGGGGAGCTGTCTCAGAGACCACCTCCTCCCCACCCCTGCCCTCACACATTTCCCTCAGACTGCAGACCCCATGTAGCCAAGTCATAAGGGGGTCTGGGCAGTGGGTCCAAGCTTGAAAGGCCCAGGGCCCAACAAAACTCCAGAAATCACAGCTACACAGAGAAGCAGGACCAGGAGGAACAGGGCACATGCCCTTGAGAGGCAAGTGAAACCGAGATCTTTTCTTTTTTTTAAGATTTTATGTATTCATTTGAGACACAGAGATACAGAGAGAGAGAGAGAGAAAGTATAAGCAGGGAGAGAGGCAGAGGGAGAGGGAGAAGCAGGCTCCTTGCTGAGCCAGGAGCCTGATGTGGGGCTTGATCCCAGGACCCTGGGATCATGACCTGAGCTGAAGTCAGATCAGACGCTTAACGATCTGAGCCACCCAGGCGCCCCTGAAACCGAGATCCTTAGTGGGTGTTGGGGTCCCATGGGGGCAGCAGGGGCCAGAGTCAGGATTCCAAGAGTTCGAGGTCGTGAGCAGAAGACACCAGAAGATGAGAGTCGGGGTAGCAGCTGTGAGCTGGGAATGAGGTGGGGTGCTGAGTCGGGGGGAGCGGTCACAAACCCCAGCACTGGAATTCCTGGGTTCCACCAACTACCTCGAGTTCCTTAATCTCACCTGTGAAGTGTGAATCACCAGGGTGCCCAATTTAAAGAGCTCTTGAAGGATCAAATAAGATAACCTTTGGAAAGCACTTAGCACGAGGTTTAGCCCCGCAAAGTTCCACTCAGCAATAACTCCAGTTCCAGAAGAAAAAGCAAAAATAGTTGTTTTGGGAGTGGACGCTTCAGCCTGGGGACAGAGGGGGCTGGACAAGATGGAGGCAGCCGCAGCTGCCTGCACGGAGGTTCAAGGCACTAGAACCTTCCTTCCCTCCTGTTTTCCAGAAATTCATTGTCCAACACACAAATCCCTTCAATGCCTGGATAGGTCTCACTGACAGCGAGGGCACCTGGAAATGGGTGGATGGCACAGACTATCAGCAGAACTACAAGTAAGTGGCCTCCCCTCTGCCCTGTTGGTTTGGCCTGGGGCCAGCCCCCTGGTCTTTTGCTCCATTACACTCCCACCCTTCCCCCGGGGACCAAACTCCCAACCCTCTCCCTCCCAGGCTGCTGCATCCCTCCCTGAACCCCTCCTCCTCGGCTGTGCTTTTCTGAGGTGGGGGTGAGCGTCACAGGGCTGGGGGTCAGAGCTTGAGCTCCATCCTGCCTTCCTAGGAACTGGGCGGCCACTCAGCCAGATGACTGGCAGGGGCATGAGGTGGGTGGAGGTGAAGACTGCGCGGTAGTCCAGGCGAATGGACGCTGGAACGACAATTTCTGCAAGCAGGTGCAACGCTGGGTGTGCGAGATGAGGCTGAACATCACGGCTTAGGAGCCCGCCCCCCTGCCCCGCCCCCAGCTCTCTGCAGGGGGGATTTTGAAGAAAGGAAAAATAGAGGGGAGGGGTCGAGACAGGAGGGAGGGTGTGCTGTGAGCATCACAGACCCCCAGAGACACTGAGGTCCCGCCTCCTTCCGCAAGTGACTGTCATGATTATAATTTTCAGCCCGCTCCATGGGGTAGGGAAAGAAGATGCAAGTATTTGAAATTGCATGGACTGGTCATTTGGAACTGGGAGATGTGGGGAGCAAAGAAGAGGGGGGCATCTGGAAGAGACAGATTTAGTCCTAGACAGCTGCCCCTTGAGACCCCATCCCAAGGGACACGGGTCAGGGAGGGGAGGGGGGTTTGGAGCAGAGATGCTCAGCTCGAGGCAGCAGGTGGGGGCCGGAGGGACTGCATGGGGAAGCAGCTCCCCCCACCCCAGGGGATCTCCCCCAGAAGAGGTTTCAGGGAACAACGGGGCTCCTCCCAACCCCAGGAGCTGTGGTTTGGCTGACGGGGGCTGCAGAAAATGCTTGCTAAGGGAATGGGGTTCGGTAAGACGCTGTCCCCTATCTGCCGTGGGACCACCTCTTCTGGACCCCTAAGAGATCTAGACCTTTCTCTAGCACAGGGTATCACCAGCCACTTCCTCTGGGGCTAAATGTCACCTTCCAAAATCATTCTGAAGCCAATATTAAGAGGTTCTTGAAGCAATTAGAGTTGTTGCTTTATTTTTACTGCAAAAGTAATATATACTATTAGGAAAAAATGCGTCTCTCTCACACACACAGGGATGCTCCTCACGCCTCCCACCTCTCCCAGAGTTAACTATTTTGTGGCCATTGGATTAGGGCTCTCCAAAGAACCAGCAGGATGTGTATGTCTGTGTATGTGTGATTTATTAAAGAGATTTATTACAAGGGATGGGCTCATGCGGTTATGGAGGGTGGCAAGTCCCAGGTTCTGCAGGTGCGCGGGTGAGCTGGAGACCCCGGAGAGCCAGTGACCCCAGTTCCAGTCTGAGTCCAAAGCATGAGACCCAGGAGAGCCGACGGTGTGGCTTCATGTGAAGGCAGCAAGCTCAAGACCCAGGGAGGGCGGATGTTTCCATCGCAGCCCGAGCCAGCAAGAAAGCCCGGGTCCCAGGGTGGAGGGGTCAGGCGGGAAGGACTCTGTCTTACTCCCGGGAGGGTCAGTCTTCTTGTTCCCATCAGGGCTTTAGCCAACGGAGCCGGCCGGCCCAGTCTGCTCTACCAGTTCCAATGCTCATCTCATCCCCAAACACGCCCCCAGACACACTCAGAATCGTGTCTGACCAACTCCCGAGGCGCCCTGTGGTCCCGTCCAGCTGACCCACGGAATCACTCGTTCCACGCGTCCCATCGGGACGTTTCCCGCGTTCCTGCGTGGATGCAGCAGAACATATCACTAGGTCGCGTGCTCCTCCTGCTTCCCCGGGCCTGAGGGTGTCCGTCCAGCCTCTGCTGTTCCCTGACCAGTTTATGTCTGTGAACTTCGCAGCGGTAGAGAGTTCCAACGTATGGATGTGCCCCACGTGACTCAGACATGCCCTAGAGTGGACGGCGAGCTGCTATTTTTGCCTGTTTTCACATGTCCTATTTCAAGCGGTTGCTGCTTCTAGCCTCGCACGGTGCTGAGACTTCCTAGCGTTCACTTGCAAAGTTCTCTAGGACGTCTCCTTCAAAAAGTGGTCGGACTGATCATTCGTGCAGCTTGAAGTCTTGTGGGGCTCGAGGCAGCCGCCCCTGCTGCTCAGAGAAGCTCGCTTTTGGTGCTTTGGCTGTGTCTCCCAGCATTGACATCAGAATTTCTAAATAATAGATGCAAACGGGTATTTCTTTATTGATCACTTGTGAGTGTTACTTAGTAACTCTCTATCATGTCGACGGGGCATGATCTTCTCGTTCAGTCTGCAACAATTTTTTTTTTTTAAAGATTTTTATTTAGGGGCGCCTGGGTGGCTCAGTCGGTTAAGCGACTGCCTTCGGCTCAGGTCATGATCCTGGAGTCCCTGGATCGAGTCCCGCATCGGGCTCCCTGCTCGGTGGGGAGTCTGCTTCTCCCTCTGACCCTCCCCCCTCTCATGTGCTTGCTCTCTCTCATCCTCTCTCTCTCAAATAAATAAATTAAAAAAAAATCTTAAAAGATTTTTTTATTTATTCATTCATGAGAGACAGAGAGGCAGAGGGAGAAGCAGGCTCCCAAGGAGCAAAGAGCCCGATGCGGGACTCGATCCCAGGACCCCGGGATCATGACCTGAGCCGAAGGCAGACGCTTAACCATCTGAGCCACCCAGGCGCCCCAGTCTGCAACAATTTTAATTTAAATCCTAAATCAGGATCCGTATCGGTTATGGCTGGGTCGACCCTGGTACCTGCTGAGCCCAGCGGTATGATCTGGTTTCTAGCTCCTTGCACAACTTCTGTTTCTTCTGAAGTTAATAATTGTTTCACTTTAAAAATTTTTTTCTTCGTATGCTTTGAACCTATTGCAAAGTCATCCTTGACTGTACAAAGCCTGGGTATAATTTTCTTTTTAAAAAAATGTTTAAAAAGATTTTATTTATTTATTTACTAGAACGAGAGAGAGAGACAGCAAGAGAGGGAACACTAGCAGGGGGAGTGGGAGAGGGAGAAGTGGACTTCCTGCCGAGCAGGGAGCCCAACGTGGGGCTCGATCCCAGGACCCCGGCCGGGATCATGACCTGAGCCGAAGGCAGACGCTTAACCGACTGAGCCACCCAGGTGCCCCATGGGTTTAATTTTCTACACACACTGACGGTCATCTAACCAGGATCTGAGCTGCACTTCATTCCTAGAGCCACATGGGTGAATGTGAGTTTTATGGGGCCTGAAGCGTACACAGTTTTGAGGAGCCCTCCTTAGAAAAAAAACAACATTATGGGGGCACCTGGGTGACACAATCGATTAAGCATCTGACTCTTGGTTGTGACTCAGGTCATGATCTCAAGGTCATGGGATTGAACCCTGTGTCCAGCTCTGCGCTCAGCGGGGAGTCTGCTTAAGATTCTCTCCCTTTCCCTCTGCCCCTCCCCACTGCAGTCTCTCTCTCTCAAATAAATGAATAAATCTTAAAAAAATAGCGTTACGAATACAAAAGCATCACTATTTAGCAAAATAAAATTTAGCAAAAGCTAATATTTGCTTAAGTTAGACCCCCCCACAACTTTATGAAGCTGAAAGCTACCGTGAACATCTCAAAAGCGTGAAAAATGATACAATGTTTGTAACAATCGTCCAGCATACCTCAAAAATGCATTTTCCCTACACTTTTTTATGATGCAATACCGTTGGCTTCTGCATGTGACGAAGATGTCAGGTGACCTTCCAGAGAGAGGAGAGAAAGGTCATTGTAGCGTCCTCTTTATTGCGATGTCAAGTGCTTCAGAGCTTAGGAGGGATGAGTAGGCGACGCTTGGGGGATTTTTAGGGAGTGAAACTATTCTGTATGCACTCTACTGGTGGATACATGTCATTATACATGAGTTAAAACCCACAGGATTGGGACTCCTGGGTGGCTCAGTTGGTGAAGCGACTGCCTTTGGCTCAGGTCATGATCCCGGGGTCCTGGGATCGAGCCCCATGTCAGGCTCCCTGCTCAGCGGGGCGTCTGGTTCTCCCTCTGCCTGCCGCTCCCCCTGCTCGTGCTCTCTCTCTCTCTCTGACGAATAAATACATAAAATCTTAAAAAAAAAAAACAAACCCAAAAAACCTCACAGGATGCACAACCCAGAGTGACCCGTAAAACAAACTATGGACTTTGGTTAATAACAACATATCACGGGGCGCCTGGCTGGCTCAGGTGGTAGAGCACGTGACTCTTGATCTCCGGGTCACCAGTTCGAGCCTGTAAAGATTTCTTTAAAAAAAAAAGTGTTAATATTGGCTCATCACTGGTATCCAAGGTACCTTTGTATTAAAGGCAAGGTGGGAGAGAAAAGGAAGACAAAACTAAAATGAAAATGGCAATTCTTTTGAGTTATTAGAATGACTCACTTGCCGAGAGAGTAAACCGGAGCGTGTTGCATGATAGTAAGCAGAACATTTATAGAGTCAAACGGTCTCTGAAAGATGAATAACTTAGCGGGAGCCAACGGCTTCCTAGAATAATAATAAGCAAAAATAAAAGTTGCTTATACTGTGCTTTTAGAAGTAATTTTGCCACAGCAATCTATCAAAGGAAGACCTGAATACACGCCAAAAAGAGATTAAAAAAATACTTATGGGGCGCCTGAGTGGCTCCGTCGTTAAGCGTCTGCCTTCGGCTCAGGTCATGATCCCAGGGTCCTGGGATCGAGCCCCGCATCGGGCTCTCTGCTCCGCGGGAAGCCTGCTTCTCCCTCTCCCACTCCCCCTGCTTGTGTTCCCTCTCTCGCTGTGTCTCTCTGTCAAATAAATAAATTAAATCTTTAAAAAAAATAAAAATAAAATACGACTAAATTAAATTCATGTATAAATAACAAAAAGAGAACCACGACATCTTAGCTGTTTGTAAATGAAGAGCTGCTTTCCTATTATCACCATGATTCAAAGTGAAAGTTATCTAGAAAAGAAAGAAATACATCAAAACCTATGGGACACAGCAAAAGCCGGGCTCAGAGGAAAACGTACAACCTCATTTTTTTATTAAAGATTTTATTTATTTGAGAGAGAGATCGAGCGAGCACGAGTCAGGGGCAGAGGCAGAGGGAGAAGCAAGATTCCCTGCTCAGAAGGGAGCCCGATGCGGGGCTCGATCTCAGGACCCTGAGATCATGACCTGAGCCAAAGGCAGACGCTTCACCGACTGAGCCACCCAAGCGCCTCAGGTTTTGACTATTGCAAACAAAGCTGCTGTGAACATTCATGCACAGGTTTTTATGTGAACACAAATTTTCATTTTTCTGGGATAAATATGCAAGAGGACAATTGCTGGGTCATATAGTGGTTGCACGTTTAGTTCCAGAAGAAAGTGCCAAACCGCTTTCCAGAGTGGCCACCCCATTTTCTATCCCAACCACCCAGCACGTGAGTGATCCCCTTTGTCTGTAGCCTCACCTGCATTCGGCTGCTATCATTCATTTTAAAAATTTTAGCTATTCTGGTAAGTGTGTAGTTTATTGCTGTGGTTTCAGTTTGCATTTCCCTGATGGCTGATGGTGTCATGCATCCCCTCATGTGCTTACTTCCCATCTGCATATCCTCTTTGGGGGAAACGTCTCTTTGTGGCTTTTTGCCCATTTTTCTAATAGGGTTCTTGGATTTTTCTACCGTTGGATTTTGAGAATTCTTTTTTTTTTTTAATATCTCATTGTGTAATTATAGTTGAGTGAATTTATTTGAAAAGCTTAGAAAGTATTTTTGGGGCGTTTGACTAATTTCTTTCAATAACTATATCTGAGCACCTTCTGAGAGCAAATCAATAAGTGAATAAGAGCAAATCAATAAGTGAATAAGAGCAAATCAATAAGTGAATAAGAGCAAATCAATAAGTGAATAAGAGCAAATCAATAAGTGAATAAGACAGTGTAAACCATTAAAGCCTACATTTGTCATCTCTTCACTGAGTGGGGTTCAGAGAATTCTTTACCTATTCTAGACACTGGTCTTTTGTTGGGTATGTGGTCTGCAAATATTTCCTCCAAGTCTGTAGCTTGTCTTTTCTACCTTCTTAGCGAAGATCTGTTTACCAAAACACTCACATGAAAAAATAAAATCTTGGCAAAGCCCAATTAAGGAAGTGAGAGAAGTGACATGGCCACATGAGAGATTAAGCGACACTTTTCCTGTTTTTATAGAAATTTGGCTGCATTCCCAAGGCTGAGAATGATTGTTGATAATGCCCTCCTTTACAACGGAGCCGGATGCATCTAGGCAGGATTTACCAAGAGGTGGCAAAACAAAGCAGCACCATTCCTCCCAGCCTCCGTAAGAGAGGACTAGGGGGCTAGGGGGCTTGTTTCAAGGGAATTCTTAGACGTGGCAAGAGATGCGAGTCTTTTTTTTTCTCCATATGGAGGAGGGAAATGCTTCTCCACAGCCCATTAGCCAGATGCTGGAGTCCAAAGGGAACCACAGTAGAGCCAGGGTGTCTGCAAGGCGGGGAAGAGACAGTCATGTCACTCTCGGGCCAGCAGACGCTGTTGGGACGGCTGTTTGAGAGGGGCAGGAAGAGCGTTAGGGGAGGCTGTGGATGTGTCTCCAGGAGTTTTGAGGACAATCATGGAGAAAGAGACCCACCCTTGACAGGAGCCAGCTGAAGGCAAAGAACTAGGGCTGGAGGTTCCCCGGGCGTGAGTGGCTCAGGCTGCACTTGGTTATCGGTGGGGGCAGGGATGTGAGCCTGGTGGACTTCATGGATGCCAGGCTCGAGCCATACAGGGAGGACCCTGCCCAAGAGAAGTTGGGGCAGAGGGAGGCTGAAGGAGACCATGGATGTGCAGCTGCACCCTGGGGCAGGAGCTGATGGTGGCCATCGGAGGGCAGCCAGATAATCCGTCTTCCTCGTGAGGGAGTGCTGTGGTGCAGAGGGTCCCATAAGAATCTCAGGGGCACCACCCACAGACCCCATGAAAGGCCACGTTGGAGGCCTGCTGTGAAGAGCGTCTTAACCACCAGCCACAATGGCGCCAGACCATGGGTCTCTTCCTCAAATTCCTCTCTCCTTC